AACCCTACTAGACAATCCAATTAACTCGATGTCCCTTGACAACTAGCAAAAAAAACCCTCGATGGGTCCCCCCATTTGGATCCACTTGTTTGAATTCACTAATATACCCATGCCACATAAGCAGAGTTAACGACTGTTGTAAGGAACTAGATGGAATAGGGGAACGAAGGACACATGAATAAAGTAGAGGGGGTAAATTGAGCCACTTGCAAATACATGGGGTAAATTGAGATTTTTGGTAAAGCACATGAAGCATATCAATAATTAAGCCTTTTAATACACCTAAACTTTTGTGGAGTATTTATAAGTCTAAATTGAATACACTTATATTTGTAAATCCTACATTGAATACACCTTGAATGCCACTTGTCAATTCGGTACTTCATTTTTACAATGTTGCATTGCTAGACTCAAAAACATCTATGGCGTAATCTATTAAATAAGACCTTAATTTCTTTATATAAAAAAAGATCTTAATCGATGACATGACGAATGCAAACTCGTTGATGGCATATATACTAAATTTGGGCCATGTGAATAAGAAAGAACAAATAAAAGAGTTATAATGTTAAAAAAATCAAAAACTACATTTAAAATATTAATAAATTACGCATAAGTGCCCAATGTTTTGTTTTTGTTGATGCCTTTTTCTTCCTCTTATGTCTACCCTTCTTGAGAATGGAGTGGGAGAAGGGAGAAGGTCGGGTCAGCACCAATGCTCCGATTGGATCTCTGGCTCGTGAGAGGAATCGTTCAATTTTGAACAAAATTGCAAGTTGGATCAAGTTGAACATGGCAGGTGAGCACGGACTGGGCCCTGGCTACTCGCTTCTTCTGGCCCGATTCATAGTTTGCGTAGGCGTGCCACTATTGGGGATGAGACCAGCCCAATAAACCTGGTATAAGCGATGTAGAATGCTTTGTTTGATGAATTTGCGCTTGTTCTGGACCTCTAATCAAGCCTTGTTCTGGGCATGTCCAGTAATGAACAGTTATATTATTCTTAAAAAGTGAAGATTCAAATATAACAATACGGGAAAGTAAATTACAGGAAAGTAGGGTACGAAAAAGACAAATGGCAGGAATGTAAAGTGCGATTAAGGTAAATTGCAAAGGGAGTAAAGTTCCAAAAGTTGGAGATTTCTCTATCCAGCCTCGACATGAAAACTACTTAAGAGAAAAGCTAAAGATTTCTCCATTTAGTTGTTTTAAAGAACAAGTTACACTAATGACGAGATAGGAGATTTCTCTATCTAATATGTTACAAGTTTTAGCTGTTTATAAGAAAACTAGACTAACTGTTTAACAAAGATCATACCCAAGAGGATGGCAGAGCAGTAAAAGATAAACGCGGGAGTTGTCAACTGGTTATCTGGATAGCGGGTTGGTTGTTTGAAAAACTTGAATATTTTAAAGTGTTTACAAGACGTTGCGTTTGATTTTGGAGTGAGAGTCCTCGAGTGCTACTATTAAGCCTTTATATTTACAGGTAAAAAATCCCAACGATGATGGTGAAGGGTGGAGGATAATACTTGAGTGTCATCCAAAGTTAGTTGTAGACCTGTCCTCGTGAATCGATCCACAGACAAGAGAAAAGGTATCTCAGATGAAAATATTGGTTTCAAGGGATATCCCTTTGATTTGTCGTCCTTTCGCACAATCAACCGACCTGCTTTCTTGCTGAGAGAGACGGCAGTCAAGTCATTCTTATGGTGAAAACCCATCTTCAGGAAGTCACGTGGGTTAACATGGTAACAGCTACCCTTTTTCTAACTTTAGTGTGGGTCAAGGAGGAGGTATTTCGAGATTTGGGCCTTTGAGTGAATTTTACCAAGTAATGGCTCACGTAAATTTTTGAACACCTGAAAAAGAGTATCCAAAAATCACAAATTAAATTACTCGCAAGCGCACGAATTAACAGTAATATATAGATATGCAAGTACGAGGTTAAATCCACAAGGACTAATAAAAACAACTTAATTAATTACATCGCACTAAACCCAATTAAAATAACGATTGATTGATTTGAGTGATGAATTAAAGAAAACTTAAATTGTAAGAATTAAAAGAAAGAAAAATAAAACACTCAACAAAGATAGAGTTTAAAAGAAATCAAATTATGAAGATTTAAGGTTATGAATCCACCAATGATAATCCTATTTCCTTTTCTTAGAGCCAATTACTATCCAATTATGATACCAATGTTAAAGTTCGTTCTTTCTAAAGTATGGAGTAAGCTTATCCAAGTCATAAATCGTGTATCCTTATATGCAATTCTACCCTATCAGGGTGTTAAAATTTAGCATACAAGAACCTGTTAAGATTAGAAGAATTCAATCAACGAAGTAGGACTAGTGGATGGCGTTTCTGTCCTAACTATCTACTCTTCTTAATCTTAGTTCCAATAAACCTAGTGGATGGCATTTCTCTCCTAGAGTTATCCAATTATCTAGATGCAAAGTTCCTAGTGGTGATCAAGTAATAGGACTTCAAACCTAGAATAAAATTTACACAAAGATTAAGAATTTAACACGGCATATAATTGAATAGTAATCAACAAAATACTTCGTAAATAATCATGTCACGGCTTCATCATAAACCTTAGAAAGAAATTTAGTTACACATAGTTATAAAAATGAGAAAAGACATAAAATAAAATAATAAAACCCGGAACATGGTAGCGTGCCCAAAGCTATATTATTCTCTTTAATCTCCACCCCCTTCTCTAGAGACCTAGGGCAACCTACTGCAAAATAACAAACCCCTAATCTCAAAACGTTTGGAAAAACTCCCCTAAAACAAAATCAAAACCATAAACAATTATGGAAACAAATTAGGAAAGAATCCTTCTTTGATTAGGAGACATGTCAGCTGACTTGCACGAAATCTTTGGCGTTCCACTTCCTAGAAAAATCTGGAAAAATATAATAAACGTAGCTTTATCTCTAAGATTTCCAAAGATATATTACACGTCATTTAGAAAAATCGGGAAGGTCTTCAAATGTTCAATCTCCCATAGCAGCACAATTCTGACGGGATTACAACTTAGGCTGTGTTGACTTGCAATTCTTGAAGAATTGACTGTATAGAAAATTATGAAAATTTGACACAATGATCTTCAATGTCTTAGCTTTCTTCTCCAATTAGCCTTACACTGAAACTCTTCCGAAAAGTTGATTTTCCATCAAAAACCTCCTAAGAGCGCAGAAAAGCTAAAAGTAATAAGGCTCTTTTTAATAAACTTTCCCAACAAAAACCAAAAATAAAAGGTATAAAAATATAAGAAATAAGGCACTTATCAATGGCCCAAATATAAAAACAAAAACCCTTTTTGTTGGTTTTGAAAGAATGAAACTGGGCTTGGGTCTAATGTAATTTTAATATTTAAAAAGTAAATCAACTTTGGTCCATTTTCCAAATATGGTACAAACATTGCCCCCTAGTTTCAATGTGCTTGACTAAAGCTAATTGAAACTAACCCCTTCACGTCCTTAAGAAGTCAAATCATACCTAAAAATGTACTTTTTTTGAAAGTAACAAGCCAAACTGACAAAAGGCAACTGACATGCCCATGTCTAGCATTAATTTCGGACGATTGACCTAAACTCTCCAACTTCTTATTTTTTCGAACTTCATCTTTTCTTTCTGAAAAAACCATCACGAAACTTTCATTTGAAAAATCTAATCTTGCTGCAACTTTGTTTTTCAAGTTTCTCTAAAAAATTATGAAAAATGGCTCCAAAGAAATTGAAAGCTCTAATGGTTTCTGCCGTCGTTCCAGACTGGATTTCGAGACAAGGTGTTGAAGAAAATGCCAAGGAATTGCAAGCTGCATTAGAACAAGAGCAAGCAGGCAGCTTAGCAAGGTTTTCTTCCCATTTTCCCTTAAATTTGAGAAATCCTCCTAGGACTCCTTTTTTGGGTCCAAACTATCATCATGGCAAGCCGGAATGCTATAGGTTTTGGACACACAACTGGTCAGAGCCCCATTTCCTTACGGTTTAGAGGATATAGATTGGGGTTCCTGGGCAACAAACCTAGATAGATTGGGTCCGAACCCAAAGGTGGCCCTCTCTAAAGAACATATGGGTAGATGAACTAATGCCCAGATATAAGGGCAGATGGAAGCAAAATGTGATATACTATGCCATCATGTTATCGAGGCATCAAATTGAGTTGAATGCGCCTCTACTGAGTGCTGCCTTGTGTTATTGGGACAACACTTCTAATACCTTTGCCTTTGGGCCAAGCCCAATGACCCCTACCATTCTAGACATGGTTGCCCTTTTCGGCTTTAGGCCTTGTGAAATGAGCGTGGATGGGGGATTATGAGTCTAACAACCGTAAGGTTGCGAATTCAATGAAGGCCACAATGACGGAGATTATGTAGTGCTTGAGAACGTATTCCGGATATGTGATGACATATTAAGGAATAGCTGGTAAGGATCAAGAACACATGATGTTCCTGCTCTTCTAGATGAATAAGTTCATCTTCCCTAATGCTAAAGAGAAAGTGAAGCCGAAATACATGCACTTGGCAGAAGCTCTGCATAATGAAGTGGGTGTGGCTACAGGGCCATTTATGCTGGCCTATCTCTATCATTGCCTCCACCAGATCACCATCAATCTACTGGACCTCAACGTCTGTGGTTCGGTTTGGATGGCACATATATGGCTAGAATGTTATTTCACTAAGCTTGGGAACGAAACTTTGAACTTTCTTGAAGATGACATTCCAACCACAGCGCTAGCCATTAGCATGAAGAGGCTTGTCAGCACTGAGGAGTGCTTCGTCTTCTTCAGAGATTGCAAGAAAAGGGAGGAGAAAATCTGGATGCGCTCACTGGCCTGCATCATCCTTGGTTTGCGCATATGGGAATCCACCAGGCTCTTGCTCATTGGAAAGACCTGACCACAATAAGAGCCATCATCCATGCTAACAGGGGTGTCTCTTGCCTGACCAGCAAGGACCTTTTCTTTGGCGGGATACATACTGACAAGAAATGTCATTATGGGGTGGGAGCGTGTAATCCCCAATTCGTCAACAGACAATTTGGGATGGTCAAGGCGATTCTAGAACTAAGGTATAGTTCTGTGAACAAAGGGAGTTCCTGGAGGAAGATGAATATGACTCCCAAAATCAAGAGCGTAAAGGTGCCTCCCTATAAGCCAACTCCACTCTACACTTCAGCCTTCCATGAGTTCTGGAAAAATAAACTCTACTTGTGGCTTCCAGAATCTGCTAAGCTTCTTTATGCTACAACCTTCAAGGATTGCCCTTTTTCCCGAATGATACAGAGCAAGAGGAGGCATCCATGCTAAGGAGGCTGAAGCATCTTCAGAGGCTGGAAGTGATAGGTAATTTCTCACCCTTCAACCAATAGTCAATTGATTTGACTTGATGTGCAAGATTCTAACAATTTGGATTATTTTTGGTGGTTGACAGAAATCGTTCTGGACAAGCTTGGCTGCCATGAAAAGGATGGTAAGGATCCTATCAGAATGTTCCCTATTGAATTATGCTGATTTTGTAATTTTGTCAGCAGATCAAGAGACTTCTCCAACTTCTTATGGAGATTCATCAGATGAAGAGGAGGAAGCAGGAAGAGGAACAATAGCTGCACCTTCTTCCTCTCAGCCCTTTCAGAGGAAACATGAGGCTCGTGCTGCTCCTGCTTCAGGGATTGAGCCTAAATCGGCTCTAGTAGAAGGTAAAAGCTTATTTTCGAGCCTACTCAAAAAACTCTATGGAAAGCTCTATGCGAACTAACGTGTATATTCATGTTGTAGTTTCAAAAAGACATGAAAAGAGGACAAGGGTGGATTCGCCTTCTGGAGAGGAAAGGGAGCCTGAAACGCCTGATATTCCAGTAGCTCACGTAAACTTTCAGACCCTAGACTAGGTCTTCAGTTGTTATTCTTTGTTTTTCTTTTACATGCCCTTTCTTTATAACTAACATTGAATGTTTATCTTTTGCATAGGCAAGGGAAAGTGATGGTTCAATAGCCTTCCACCAATGGTAAAAAATCTCGATTTATAGGGCTAAGTGAATTTGGTGAAAGTGGAAGATGAAAAAGTTCTCCAAACATCAGAGCAGCAATCAGGCTTGAATGTGGGTGTAACGGGTGATGCTCCTGGGAAAAAAGCTTCTGAAACTCCAGGCCAGAGTGGCCCTAGTACCTCAGCTCCAAAATCCTCAAGTTCTGCTAATTTTACCAGTGCAGAAGGAAAGAAGATTCTTTGGGATCTGAGAAGGTCTGATGAAGTCCTTGGTCTTGTGGTGGATAGGCTAAGGGAGCTGTGGAATTTATTTAGATCTCCAGATTTTAACCCGGTTCAAGACTCTGATAAACTCTCTAAGGTGCAGCCCCTGCTCCTTCAAATTGCACAAGCAAAACCTCACTTGGCCCTAGTGTGCCACTCTCTGAATTACTGGTTGGGCAAAATGTTAAAACACATATTCGTGGTAATATGGCCTCATTTCAACCCTTAGGTCAAGGGTTTGAATCCCCTAAAGTGCATATTTTTGTAGAATTTCTCTAACACCCAAAATGGTCGATTCGATAAACTGTCAGTTTGAGAAAAAATGCAAGCCCTAGAGGATACAACCCAACCCCAATTCCATATCCAACACTGAGGAGAGAGAGCTAGCCATGCACATATATCCAACATGTAGACAACTATGAACTGATGGCCCTCTGAAATAATCTCGGCCACCATACCTATAATTCAGCCACATTAACCATATGAAATATCTAATAAGTGAACAAATTTCTTCTCTCTTAAAACCAAGGCAACTTTTATTTGTTTTGAATACATGCATGGTGGCCGAGAGAAAAGTGCCAAGCTGAGAAGAATGCTTTTTGCAATATCGCTCGGCCACAATACTGCCTGAGAGTTTTCTTAGAGTATTTCCAATAACTTTTTCAACAACTTTGGAATGCTAAAATAGGTGAGCCATGTCATCAAAACTCTCTCCAACAAACCTTGTCAAACTCTTTCATCAAAGGTGCAACCTATTTCTCTCTCTTCAGACTTTGGCTTCAAAACATTTAATTTTACTTTGGAAAAACAAAATCTACCTTGAAAATATTAAAAGAGTGCTGCTAAACGAACACTAAAATTAACTGAGTACACTCTATTACCAAACTATTTAATGAATTACTAATTTACCCTAATATAAAATTACCAAAAAGGATATATTGAAATATGAAACAAATATAATTTTAATAAATACACCTTACTCACCATATTCAAAGTTTAGGAAAGATTAGAAATTCATGTCTAACTTCCGACCCCATAAAAGGGTTATGCCTACTAAGGAAAGAAAAGTACCCTCCACGTCTGTGCCAAATTCTTCAAAGAATATTAATTGTACATTTCTTATATACTGCATTGACTATAAGGGTTCGAAAATAAGGTTGGAGAAGCAAAGAACCAATAGGTTTTCCACAAGCTCCTTGCCCAAATAGTGGTATGTCTTGCCAAAAAAACAAAAACAAAAACATTATTATTAGATTATGGTCCATATTCATTGCATGACCAAAACCAACCGAGTTCAAAAAATCTATCTAACTATTTGATCCTTTTCTAGGTACTGCTTAAGGGCCTTGGTCAAAGCAGCAGAGGATTCTGAATCTCGACCAAAGGGTTTCTCAACAATAACCCTGGTCCAGCCTTTACCAGATGAGGGTGATGAGGTAGCCAACGCCAAAAAGAATGGGTTTGGTGTTATGTGATAGAGTGTATTAGGGTGTACGAAAGATTTTTTGGTAATTAAATAGGGTGTACTTAGTTAATTTTACATTTTGATTTAAATATTAGGGTGTACACAGTTAATTTTAGGGTTCGTTTAGCAGCACTCTATTAAAAACATGCACCTTTTCTTTTATGAGATGGGTTATAACATACTAAACTCACACACACTACACGGATGCTAGGACTTGAACTCACAACCTTTTTCTGGGAGAGCAATTGCTCCAAACCACTACATTAGTGAGTCCTTTGCGTTGAGGCATAAATTATTAAAATAAAGAAACCTTTTCAAAGTGCCACATAGGTCAACAAACTTTAATTTGCTACTAGAGATGCTCATTTACTTATTAGAGTTCGTATACCAATTCATTACTTTCTCCATTAATAAGTTCTCAAATTTTTTGCATCTCAATTCCTAGTAAATATAAACATACCTGATACCATGCTAGTACATGGTATGCTTTACCATGCTAGTATACGGTACACTTTACTAGGGGTGGGCATCGAGACCACAAAATTGATAGAAAACTCAACAGAAAGTCAAAAAACCAAACTGGACTGGTTCCAACTAGTTCCAATGCCAGTTTTACACCTAAGAAAATCATCCAGCCCTATAAGCCTTATCCCAATCGAGTTTAGTTTAGTTTAGTTTAGTTTTTTTAAAATAATCTAGTCGTATAGGCCTTATTTTCAAAGCTTAAAATCATTTAAGTTGAAGAGCCCAAATGCAAGCCCATCTCTTCTTAACTCACACACACAGGGGTTCAAACCCCTCCATACCAAGTTCTGGAGTCACTTAACCACCACGCAAGTCATCACCTTATGATTATTACCTATGGAATCTCATATTTAAAACTCTTGCGAGCTGTTTCTCAAAATAGAAATTAACATAATTACTTATTGTTCTATATTGTTGATCAATTACTTAATTACTTAATATAATTTATTTCTTTCCTATTTAATCCATTTAATGTTATTGGTTATTATATTATTCATTATAAGTACTTACATTACTCAATTCCCCCTCAAATTGTTACTTAATTACTTAAATCTCTATAATCATTTTCTTTATTTCCTATTTAATTCTTCCTTGGGTAACTTTATTTATGTTCTTAGTTCATTTTCAATCTTCACTATTATTTTTTAAGGAGCTTCACTAATATACCCAAAATAAGGGCTGAAATTATTATAAAAAAAAACTCCACATGGACTGCACTTCATATTCACACCCAAAATCCATTTACGGCACAAGATATTGGTGTTGAAGTTCCTATAAATTACGTGGCTGCCACTGATCAACTTAAAAGAAGCCCAACACAAAAAACTAGCCTAACCCAATTTTATAAAAAAGCCCAAACAATTCATTACAAAAAAAAACGTCTCGAAAACTATAGCTTCAACGTCTTGTTGATTAATGACTATAATGTTCCACACCTTTACTATCATATTGATTAATGGCTATAATGTTCTAGTCTAGGGTAATAATACTGCTAGTTTCCTATGACATCGTTCCAGTCTAGGGTAATAACACGGCTAGTTTTCTATGGCATTCTGTTTCTAATGCATGTCTACCCCTGTAATGTTCTGTTTCTAATGCATCTCTACCCCTGTAATGTTCCAGTCTAGGATAATAACACTGCTAGTTTTCTATGACATCCTATTTATAATCCATCTCTACCCCTGTAATGTTCCAGTCTAGGGTAATAACACTACTAATTTACTGTCATGTTGCTATTTATGATGCATGTCTACCAAAGAAAGGATGAAGAAAGTACAAACCAGACCAACTCAAAACAAGCCGAGCCCATATTTTTTTTTTAAAAACTCAAACAATTTATTAAAAAAACTTCACGAAAACCAAGCAGAGGCTCTTCATAGAAGTACATTCTCAAACAATTTATTAAAAAAACTTCACGAAAACCAAGCAGAGGCTCTTCATAGAAGTACATTGTTAATACTATGTCATAGAAGTACATTGTTAATACTATGTCAAAAGTACATTGTTAATAATATGTCATAGTCATAGAACTATTGCTAAACAAAAATGAGATCCATAACTGAAATAGTAACAAAAGATAAATCGATCATCAAAGCTTAAAATATATTCCAAAAATCAACTAAAATCCGAAGAGAAACACATAATTGAAGCAAATAAGCCTTTCGAAAATCTTAAAACTGAACATGACGATTTGATTTGTGGGTTAGGCCAAAAACCAACCCATCTGGCATGTGCATGGTTTCACGTGGGCCCATCAAACCAGGTTGTGTGTGGAATCCACCACACCCTTAGGCAATTGTTTCCCTCTCCTCCAATTGTAATGTAACAATTGGTCGAGATTGGTTCCTCTTAGAATCATTTTAATGTATATACTAGCCTCTCCGCATGTGCTTCCGCACCTGTAAGAGGTTTTTAAAAAAATATTTATTTATTTTAGAATTAAAAAAGATAATGGGTAGTGTTCCATAAAAATAGAATCTATTATCTAATTTTTCTTTTAATTTTAATTTTCTTAATATGAAAAAGTGTGAACTTACCATATTATCCTCATTTAATTAATAATTTCAAATCTTAATGTTTGCATTAACCAATGGCATTTTTTGGTATTTTGAATATTTTGTCATTCTCTGCCTTTTGCTTTATATATATAGATATAATCAGTCTCGTGTTTGATTTTTTTTATTTTTTATACAAGCAATATTGGGAAAATGATTATTTGAACACTGGACTTCATGTTGTCCCAAAAAAAAACAGAGAACTTCATGTGCATGGGTAAACTACTCTTAACCAATAGAGCTACAAGCTCCTTGTAGTTTTGAAAATCTTAAAACTGAACATGGCAGTTCGGTTTGTGGGGTAGGCCAAAAACCAGCCTATCCGACCTGTGCCTAACCCTAGTTTTACTTTTCTGAATTTAGATCTTCCCATTGGAGACGCTGTCCTGTGTGCAATATCAGTGGGGGTAAAAGTTGGTATTGGTAACAGTACATGACAACAATATTGTTTTTCTCCTGCACATTACACAAATTGGAGGATAGAGGGTTAACTTGTCTTTGGTACAAAATGCACTCCAATTGCTCTTTCCTTTAGATTCATGCATCAAAACAAAAGAAAACTGCTAGACCATGATCTAAATTTCTATCATAGACGAAATATATATCTGAATATTCCATCTCTCAGAAGCAAAAGACAAATGGAAATATAACTGTCCGCTCCCAATCTTTGACCGTGTAAATTTAGAAAGATATCAAGTATAGCCTCAATCCGTTTGTTGCAACAGGAAGTGGAAGTCAGATCTTTGTCGGAGGATGGCTGGCGGATTCATATCAGATAGGCTGATATCATCAAAGGATCTGCACATCTCTTCAATAGAGAAAGGTATGCTGCAAATCAATTTTGCAACGCTATCTTCAGTTAATTTTTACCATGCTAGAGAATCGGGGCTGAATTCAATACATTACCAAGTTTAGAAGTTAATGACTTACCTGGAATCGACGTCGAGTAGGAAAGAATTATTGGGCATGTTGATTGAATCCTCTGCCATCAACACTCTCATTTTGCCAATAACCTAATGCAACAAATCCCCGGAAAGAGAAACAATGGGATACATAGTTAACTGCGTATTCTAGCATGCTCATTACAAATCAATTTACTGAACACTCACTTCTGCAGATAATCCCTGCGCTCCGTATTTGTCGTCCCAGAACATTGTTCCAATGCGATATATTTGAGGGATGCTCAGTATCTGATTAATGAAATGTAAACTAAATTAACAGGAAGTCCTAGGTTCACTATATTGGAATTCTTTGATCATATTCTTTGTTCTCTTTCTGAAATAACGTTACAAAAGTTTGGCCAAAGAAAAAAAAGAACTTTTGCAGAATGGATTCAATCTCCAAAATGAAAATAAAAGATTAAAAGAAGTGAAGAGGAGAACTAAAATAAAGAATTTCTTTCATATGATATAAGACTGGTGGAGTTACCGGACACAATTCATTTGTGATTTCATCCACTGATTTCTGAGTTTTTTGGTGCAAAACCTGCATGAATGAAGAATACTTTCATAAAGCAGTGTAAATTCCTTCACGTAATTATTTAAGCAAATAACAACGGAATATTGGCTTGGTGATGTAAGCTCAAGAAACAAACCAAAAATCCTACAGCCTGCCTTATGTGCTGAAGCTCTTCCAAGGACGATCCAGCAAACTGTAAAAGTAGAAAAGTAAATAAGTAAATAATGTTTCCTCATTTCCTCCTTATATTATTTTGTCAGCATTTGTTAGACCACAGACAGTTTTCTTGCCTGATCTGTTACTTTGAGACACCATTGTTCCAATTCAAGCAAACCTGCTTTCAGAAATTCTCCATTGCTAAATGAGCAGCACTCACGACGAAGCAATAAGCTGCCACCAAGGATTTATTAAATTCATTAGGACTAATGATGCATTGTAGCTAAACTTTGATCCTAGTCAATTGGTTAAAGCAATGAGTGGATATCAAACTCTGTTTACCTGTTAAAGAGCTGGACATTGATGAATGAGAAAACTTGACTGAAGATTTTCCTTGCGATCATGGGAGAGACCTGAAGTTGCAGCAGTTAACTCTATAAATTCTTTATACTGATTTATATAATAGATGGACAAGAATCTTGAAAATTAAATTAAATTTAAGCTTACATGGTTCACAGACAAAATACCCAAGGTTTGATCTAACTTGTTGACAGTGCTTTGCCAGTGCATATTTGATGCCTGTTGTCTTGCTCTTATATTTGAATGTATAGTTTTAGATGAGCCTCTTATCGACCTGCCCCTTGCAGATCTCGGTGCCTGTTGATGTTAAATAAGAACTTTTTCATGGTTCAATCTGTCAAGTCATATTCTCGGTTATACAAGATGCTCACCTGAATGCACAAATTCAAGAATGGGCTAATCTCTTTCTTTAGACTATCACGGATGGTCCCATATATTTTCTCAACAAATGCAGTTAGATGTTGCTTGAACAATAATGCTGGGTACTTAGCCTCCACTTTTAATTGCTCATTTGGCTTTCCCATCGTTCCACTGTAGCCACTTGAAACTCCCGTGCTCATAGAAGATGAACGAAAACCCTGGCATAGTATTTCTTGCATTACTGTGTCACATGGTTTTCAATATGCTAAAAAATTTGTACGTGACAGCTTACATGTGCCATTCTACCAAATATGGTAGCAGGAGTTCGGTTACGATATGAAGCTGTATTAGATGCACTGGCTGCCTTGAGCGTACTTTGTAGAAGAAATAGAATGGTAGAAGTTGTTGAAAGCCAATATGCCAGTTCACTGACATTGTTTTGAGTCTTCAAGAACATTTCACATTTCATATTGAGTTAATCAAATAGCATAAATACCCCATCCAACTGGTCAAGCTTAATGCATGTTGGTTGAAGGCTAATACCTCTATAATGGACCGAATTTTGTGAATGATCCTATCAAATACGTTTGTTTTCTTTGCTTCAAAGGTTCTCCACTGAAGAAGTGCTCTGTACACAATACAGGCAGTGACAGGCCTGTTCTTGTCAAATTGCCTATCTTCCACAAGACACTTAACAAGCACGTCAACACTTTCCTGTTTATAGTTGTAGTGAGTTATGGAAGAAGCTTTTTAAAATAATAATAATAATAATTTCAACTTTATAAATACCTGCTGCCTATCTGTGAGTGATCTTTGTCTACTAAGGTGAGACACTACAGGATATGGCTCCTGAAAACATAATTTCATTATAGGTTGATGATAAGTCTATAACAGATGATAATTAAAGTATCTTATAATTATTTGCACTATTTCTGACAACAATTTATTCTGGAAAGTTGGTAATACTTTGGTCCGAAGCTCTTCCCTTGTCCCGTTCCCATTCTCAAAAGGCTGTACCATCATAGAATGTCAAAGGAAGTAATTTTACCGAAAAAGAAGATGAAAGAAGAAAAAGTTTCTTTTTTAACTTTTGGTATGGGAAGAAAAGGTTATGCAAAGCACTATACCTTTACTTGTGGCTGAAACCTCTCTGGAGTAGCTTTCTGCTCCATGACTAGAGTCTTGTTGCGGAGGAATTTATTCTCTGACTCCAAATCTGCGATCTTCCTCTTCAGGCTGGACAAACACGAATACTTAGCATTGTACTCAATGGGTAGTTGGATATCTTTGTAACTTTGATGAAGTAATATTCGAGTTGAATATCCATTTATTTGGTGCTTCTACCATAATAAGCAATTGTTTATGAGTATGATTCATTTAAAGGTCAAATTGTTCATATTTAGATTGAGCAACCATAATGAACTCAGTTGCTATGATAGAGCAACCACTTGTATTTTTCTTCCATCATCTCCAAAACTGGTGTTCAAGCATAAGATAGTAAAAACAGGTTTCTAAAATTCCACCTATCAATGAGGTGAAAACTTTTACTAGATTGCACACATTCTTACATTCTCATTTCTTCAGAGAAGTCCTCATTTGTTGATGCAACCAGAGCCTGTTGGCGGAGCACCTGATTTTCAGATTCAAGACTGGACAAGTTCAACTCTAACCTGATTAAGAAACAAGAGTTAGTCAACCCCAGTTTATGTTGATAGAGACATTCATGAAATTCCTTTTGATAACAAAAATAAAAAAGCAAATATATGGGACTACCTTTCAATAGTCTCTTGAAGCTGTGTTGCTTTCAGCTGTGCTTCTTCTGCCTCTTTATGCCTTGCTTTACTTTCTTTTTCAACTTGAGAGTAATTTTCTTCAAATCCCTCAATTTCCTTCTTCAGCTCACTTAGCTCACCCTAACATTCATACCAATAATCAATATAACACGTGCACATCACCACACATGCACCCACTACATATGCTTTCTGTTCTTTTAATGCCTCTCTCTATCTATCTATCTATTGATTTATCTTATTTATTTATCTTTTCATTGTACACCACTCTGTGGACCAAAAAGACGACATTGTTAGACATTTTACGAAAGACCACATTGTTAGACATGAGCCCACAGGCTTAATTTTGGGCTTCTAAAAAAGATGTCCTTTCAAACCTAGTTGTTTCTACTGTATGAATATTTCATAGGAATAATTCATATATTCTTAATTCCACCATATACAATGGTTTGATAATTTTATTCTAAAGTTTATCATTCAGTTGATGTGAAATGCATCTTTGGAAGCTAAGTTGTACCGCATTACCTCTAGTTCCTCATTGTGATTTTTCAGAATTTCTAGCTTGGTGTTATCCACAACTGGCACCTCTTTGATGACTGGTGGAGCTTGTTCAATAGCTAATTTTGCTGCTTCTTTCTCATGGATAATTGCGGCATGGGCTTCATCAATTTGTGTTTGCATTTCATGTAAAGTATATTGCAAATTTGCAATTTCTTTCCCTTTAGTTTCTTCAAGATCAATCTGCAAGTTGTTTGTAAATTATGTACAATCAACTTTATATCCTCAGTGTCAAGGTATGACATTTCTCCAACCATTCCCTTGACTGGTAAATTTCAAACTCAACATGACTACAGATACTTTTATAAAAATGACCCAAGTTACTGGTTCCAAATAAATCATACCAAAACAATTGCAATACCATGGGTGTTCATCATATCAATTAGTATTTTCTAATTGATATGATGAAGAACTAAGAGGCAGATACTTCTATTTGTTAACCAAATTGGTGGAGAATATATACCCTCAAGTGCTTTTCAAAGTCCAGTCGCCATGTTAGCTCTTCAACACGCTTCTCCAGCATGTCCTTAGCTGCCTTAAGAGCTCCCGTTTCTCGTGCAGCCTGCATCAGGGAATTGTGTTTATTTCTTTATATCTTCCTGATTCCTTAATTTTGATAAATCTGGTTTTCTTGACATAGTTCAATGCTTATAATAGGTGGGCAGTAAGTAGATTCTTCTTATAGAGAAGTGAAGCTCACCATCCTAAGCTTTCTAAGCTCCTTCCTCGCTACCTTTGCTCTCCAGAGACATTGAAGAGTTAGAGTTGCCTTTCGCTGGTGTTTATATTCAGAAACAGCTTCAAATCTTCGCCAATTAGTCTGTCAGAAGAACAGCATTTTAAAATTTATTAGCTTAAACTTATTTAATACCGAATGATCCGATCTCTGTCATAAGTAGTAATATAATTTTTCATAAAAAATGTGTAGGTTTTAGCTCACTGTATAATAAATAAATAATAGAGGTCTGATTATTTTCTGCACAATTCAATAGTATTATTCCTCTAAACCTGATACTGGAAATATTTTCCTAAGTTATCAATCAAGTTCTTCATAAGTATTCTTAAACTGCATTTCTTTATGTACTCTACGATTTACTTTTACATTTTTAAATATCCCAAAAATGCCAAAAAAAATATGTATGCATCGATAAAATTCAAGTTTCTGTAGATTGTCCAGTCCAGAGCATTTATGACCTGAATAATGTTTGCAGCCTTGGTTCTTTTCCTGTTTCGATGATCATTTCGGGCTGCCATAGCTCGTAAACCAGTTTGGATGACCATTGATACAGCCTGAAATTTTATGTAGGACTTCCTTGCTGTGTGAGCGCGTAGATGTTTTTGTATACATATTGAAGCAGCTTCCTTCCTTATCTGTTCATACATCTTACGTGCAAGTTGTCCTGTTTGAGGAAGTGGTGAGATAAAAACCATGTCATTCCAACTTTCAAATTGTCACTCCATTATTACCTCTCCAAAGTTTCTGCAAGTGAATCGCAGCCCTTCGCACGGCAATGAACTCCTTTCTGGTTAGATGTGTTCGGATTTGCCTTTGAATACATCTGGCAGAATCAGCCAAAACTTTCGTTCTGCGTGCATCTAATTCAGCCATCTGACCAGCTCTAAGAAACACCTTTGATTTTCCAATCTGCAATACAACATTGGTGGGGAACTTGTGCATAACACGAACAAAGTTTGGGGGACAATGAACACTAATGCGTCTTATTTTCACACCATTAGTTTGATGTCTAAACAAACCTGATATCCCTTCAGGCCCATCCTGTCACATATGGCAATACATGCTGATTTTTCATCATATCTGCACAGGCAAAGCAAGTAACCATCAAGGTGGTGAATGCATTAGATGATCATCTCTTGTGGCATTACTATACGCTCTAGATAAACAGTCACTTATATCCAGATATGTGAGTTTTGTTAAACAACTACTGAACCTCAGAGGCTTAAAGCCGTTATGGAATGGGCCAATAATGAATGGCAACCCAACATGCTGCCCCATCCTGCAGTCGGAGAGGCAGACATATGCAGAAATAGTGAAACATATAGGTGCAACCACATTCTGCATCTTGCAAATTAACAATAAGTTGGGAATGAGAAATAAATGTTTCAAACTAGAACCTCCTGCAACTAGAGCTCTAATGCCGTATTCGGCAACCAATCCCAGTGGATCCCATACACAACAACTAAGTAATGAGACAAAATATATATATCAAGCCAACATGAATATCTTTGTAAAAGTTAAGGCATGAGCTTCATGCAAACACTGTCATCTCAGTCTTGACCTAGAGGTCCTAGTTTCATTTCAACATAATGAAGGTAAAATTGACAAATAGAAAATCAGATTAAATCAATTCCAGTCAATTTATACCCATCCAGAATATCAGGAGCCAACAAGCCAAAGCGGTCAAGGAACTCATCAAATGTTCTTTTTGTTGGATATCCAGCACAACTAATCCTTATAGCTTCTAGCACACCCTGTACAAGTGCCATTGGAAAAACATCATCAAATTAAGCAACCTAAACAAGTCATGGTTGCTGCCTCAGCCCCCACCCCCACCCCTACCTCCCCCTGGAAATCTCCCTTTAGGGGGTTCTTTCTTTCTGTTTTGTTTAATTTTTAAACAACCTCAAAAATATTTTTGAAAGGGTAAAGATATTCTGTGAAAAAAGTTAGACTTTACTCACCCCACATCTCAGCTGGTTTAATACATTGACATTCTCAAAAATTCCAGGCTTCAAAACTGTATTGGGCTTAACACATCTGATATAATGTGGTTCTGTCGTGCTAAGTGTCTCCATTAAAGCTTGTAGTTGTTGCTGCATGTGAATTTTGATTCAGGAGCAAGTTGCATCTTCAGAGTCAAATAGACCTTTATGAAAATGTGGATTACCTTGAAACGGGTACCTATGGAAGAAAACTTGGATTGTTTTGACGTCTCCTCAGGTAGTGGAGGGAATAGATTTGCAACAAATGAGCATGTGGAGGCATTTAAAAGAGCTTGATGTTCTGCCACTACGTAGTCCTTGTTTTTATCAAGAAAATGGTCTGCTTCGTATGTGACCTGTTGACTAGAAGGATAAATGAAGGGAAACTATGTTTTTTTTTTTCAATATAGCTATTTGTTCAAGAATTTTCTTACATCTCCAGCATAGTGGTTAACTGTGAAGTCCGTTCGAGCAAGTTTTGGCTTTTTGAAGCGCTTATGTCCTTTATATGTCTGATACATCTTCTGTGCAAATGTCTCATGGGTTGACTTGGGGAACATACTGTAGATAAAATGAACTTGTTCATATATGCATAGGTTCAGCAGTCATGATCTTTTTTCTCCCATTTTCAAAAAAGCATTTTAGCTTTTCTTTAATTTTCACTGGTAGAAGAAACAATATGAGACTGCGTATTTTTGTTGGATTAGGGAACAAGTATTATTATTATTATTATACACCGTGCTGAATGAAGCTTCAAACTTAACTGCCTAATAATTAATCAGACGAGACTTGAGTACTGAGGTAACCATATTATTAGTTAGATTATCTGTTGTAAGAGATAAGATATCAATGGTATCATGAGGACCAAGGTTACATACCAGGCTTCATCAAGAAGAGCAATTATGCCCCCAGGTTTCTGCATGTAAGGACATTTGTTATAACAGATTTATATAAATCTTGCTATTTTTACCTGCAAAGAACTATATGAAAATTAATACCTTCTCAATAAGATCCAAAACATCCTGGTTATCTACAAATTCTACGTAGCTCCAGTTAATTTCATCCTTTGTGTACTCTTCTTGCTCCATCTTGAACACATGCTGCAGGGGAAGATGCTTATTATATAAAATAATCATAGTACAAATATGTTTAAACTGTACCTAGAAATTCCCTTTACCTGATTAAAATGTTGTTGCAGCTTTTCATTTGTTAGGTTGATACAAAGCTGCTCAAAACTACCAAATAAAGCATTAGATTAGGTCCTTAGGTCCAAATGCAAAATTGTTTCAGTACATTTAATTCTTCTGTTAAGCTGTATCATTTCTACCATTATGTACCTGTTGATCTTGAAGCTTTCAAAGCCATAAATATCAAGGACTCCTATTAAGCTTGACGAATTTGGATCTTGACCAATTGAACTGTTTATCTTATCCACAATCCTGCCACAGATTAGGAACCACCACATGTAGTTAATCCTTATAAAGTTAGGTAAATTTATAAGAACATGATATTAGAAACCAATGTTTTGAAAGGGGAGGCATAGAGGCAAGGCGTTTTTGGTCCTGCAAGTCGAGGTGCTTTCTAATAGAAACTGTAATAGGTTGGCTTTAAAGAAGTTTGCATACTACAAGTATTCTGTGATTCCTGATCTGTTGCACTGATATCACATTTTTGGGGCAATAAAAGCCTGGGTCAAAAGTTGACTAAGTTAAGACTCTTAACTTCCATAATGGAGCACTTGTTCCTCCCAGCCAGGAAGGAAATACTAACAACTAATGCTGAATACAAGTACAATGAATAAGTCTATTTTACTTACCAATCAAACAGTCTGGAGTAAACTGTCTTTGCCAGGGCATCACGACTTAATGTAGCTGAGTCTGGATCCAGCGGTTTTGTAATGTTACCATCAGGAGTCACTATGACACGCTTGCAAAGCGAGTCTTCTAAAGCCTTCTTATCACACCTGAAGAAAAACATGTTGGAAGACACTAGGAATTAGAAACGAGTAGATAATCTTCATTTAGGTATTTCAAAATCGATCAAAGTTCTAACATGAGTAGCTCTGCAGCTGTTTGGAGATGATAGAATGATTTATCATCTTTTAATTTGGAAGAATCAACTTCGTCCCCTTTGATGAAGTCAATGTTCCCAAGATGGAGGATTGCAGAAACCACTCGGAATATGGCATCCTAAAGAAGGAAACTTTTCCATTAATAATATTTATGGTTAGAGGAAATCATCACTACAGCATTGTAGTTGTATTGATGCGAGGGTCACTACCTGCTCTTCCTGGATGATCCCAACAACATCCATGGCATTTCTGGTTTCCAAATACTCTCTTGCATCATCTACATTTGCTACTTCATAACAGGAGGATTGATTAAGATAGTGAAATGTTCTTGGGTCCCCTAACTTGTACCTGTTGATATCCTGTTAAAGAACATTTGTCAGCCATAACGACAAACATACCTAGATAGAGAGGGAGCTTCTTAAGAGGGATCCCTCTTTTTTTTTAAAAATAATGGGATGTATCATATAAAGGGATCGCATGTGTGGTCTTCCCTTGATGCCATAGTTTTTAAACGGTGATCAAACAAATTGCAAGCACAATATTTTTATAAACACTTAATCACGATAATAATCAAATGGCTAATTGACTCCCTAGTTGGTTAACATTTATGTTACCATACCGTTTTTTATTCATTGAACAGTAGTCCATGAGATTGAACTCAGGACCTCCTCCAACAGAATGTTGACGGGATGCCACTAGACCAAATTATCGGCATGTTACCAGACTATTACTCTTAACCATTGATACAGTAATTATTATTTAAAAATGTATAATCTAGATTAACAACAAAAGAATATAATGTCACACACAAACCTCCGCTGGTGCCGCACAAAGCATGTAAAAACAATGGTAATTTCTCTCTGGGTCAGAGACTTGGCAAACACGTGATCTTTCGAGAAGATATGTACGAATTGCAGCTCCAGAGATTTTCCAATTGTTATCAAACTGGATCTCTACAAATTTACCAAAACGACTGGTACAAGCATCATGTTTTACAAGTTTGAAGAGAAAGTGGGGAAAGCAATATAGAAAATTTTTTAAAAAGGAAATGAGAGAAATCTATCTAGTAGAGGAAAGAGCTAACAAGTATCTCACCTCGAATTGTTGTTTTTCACAGTTTTGGCATTCCCAAATGCCTCCAAGACTGGGTTGGACTGAAGAAGTGGAAATATTTACACTTCATCCCAAATAAATCAATGTACTCACAGTATATAATAAGGAACCAATTGTTAGAAAGAAAAGGAAGGTTGGGTTATGAAGCATTTTCCTATAATATACAAACAGAGGAAAAAACGAAACTGACCTCTAAAACCTGTTGTTCTACTGTTCTTCCTTCTGTACCTGATCTGCCCCCCATGAATGCGAGATATCTCATGAGCATTTTTGTTGTCTCTGTTTTACCGGCACCACTCTCCCCACTAACCAGAATTGACTGGCTTCCTTGTTCGTTTATCATTGCCCTGGTGAATGGTACTAGTCATTTTATTTTATTTTCTTACCAATAGCTAGGGAATAACTAAGCATGGTGTCTGAGATGACATGATGGGATCTAATTAGCCAGTTTGCACGGCATATATACCTGTAACAAGTGTCTGCAACAGCGAAAAGGTGTGGACTTAGCTCCCCAAAAGCAGTTCCTTTGTACTGCTCCATCATGTGGATTTCATACAAGTGTGGTAGTCTCTGGAACGGATTCACCGCTATTAGAATGTTCCCAGTGTAAGTCTGCTCACATTATATCACCGACTGTCAGACAACTAGTTTTTTGACATCTATGTTATCTGCTTTCAAGGGCATTGCTAAATAAATTCAATGCATATGTCGTATTCATGCGGTGACTTGACTCACATATATCTCATTAAGAGCAAACCGACAGGCTAGGTTATGCAGGACTCCCGGCTCATGGAGGTAAGCCAACTTAGTCATGTCGTCAACCCCTGCTGGTGGTGCTTCTGTGTCTTTTGGGTACATACTGGAAATGTCTGCAACTATCTGAAATTGAAGTAAATGCTAGCATTAGCCTGTATACGTACCTATTATGCAAGTGTTGAATATAAATCACAATTAGGTTTGTGTGACACGATGACATGACATCAGGTTCGTTTTTATTCAGAGGAGAGATTATGATAGAATTAGAGAATCCAACCAAAACCTAATTGGTACATAGTAGAAAGGTGGACGGTATATTGTAATGCAAGACTCCAAACGTACGACATGGGATTTTTCATTTTCTAACAATTGCAATCATTAGCTGCACACCCACAAAATCCACTGCTATAGCACCGCATGGATTAAATAACCTTTTTTTTTTGCCAAACCCTAAAAAATCTTTAAGTGGCAGGAAACACTAGCAAATAGCTAGGTAGGTACCTTTTGGTTTGAACCTCAGACAACATAGAAGCAAACCATGGGCCTAACTATTCTAACTAACCCCTCGTTGGTATAAGCTTTAAAAAATTTAAAATAATAATTAAAAAAAAAGGTTTTTAACCGAAATAGTCCTCCAACTTATACTTGAGTTTCATTTTGGTCCTCCAACTCTTCCACACGCGTCAAATTGGTCTCGCCATTAAATTCCCTCAAATTGAGGGGTAAAACTGTCAATTTGGGCACTAATTATCTCTTAAACTTACGGAAACTGTTACAGTAAGACCAATTTGACACAAAGGAGAGTTTGAGGACCACTGGAGTGAAAAACTTAGTTAGAGGACCAAAATGGAACTCGAGCATAAGTTCATGGACCATTTCCGTCAAAAGCCCTAAAAAATAAAAAGTAAGATTTAAAAAAATGAAAACCATAAGTAAATATACAAATATAAATAAATAAAAATTCAAATAAAACTTATTTTAAAAAAGGGTTTAAATCGTGGTCTGTTATTTTGATGATGCTCCATGGCTTGGTTCTATTATCTGAGATGACTTGTTAGGTGTTGCTAGAACTCACTTGGTGGGTTCTGTGTTTAGTTAGCTGTGCTGTTTTTGGAGTTTTTGCCCCCTTTCATCATAATAAAAAGGTTTTTATCACGAATGGTCCTTGAATTTTCCAAAGACTTCATTTGAGTCCTTAAACTTTCAAAACAATCAATGTGGTCCTTATCTTTTGATCCACACATCAGTTTGGTCCTCCTCATCGCATTTCATCAAAATCTTCATTAAAATTGGTCGCCTCACATCCATTAAAGGGGTATTCTCATCAAAATACAACCTATATCCACTCATGAGATAAGGTAAACCTCACGTCTTTTCCTCAATGATGAAAGAGAATAATCATAAGTGTTCCAGAGTGGTTCGATATTCAAAATATCTATTTGTTTGGAAAGGAAGAGTTCAGTTTTCTCATGGAGTCTTTGGTGATGACGATCTAGACTTGAGGACAGTCTTTTCCAACCAAGGCAGTTTGATGCAGGAGCATCTACAAGGCTTTCTAAAAGTACTTAGGCCCGTTAGTCAATTGGGTTAGGGTTCTAGTTTCTTTAAATTATTAGTTACTTCTTTTGTTCTCCTATTCCTAGGATTTTGCTTAATTTCCTGTTTAGGTTTTTGTTTCCTATGTTAATTAGGTTTTCTGTATTGTAGTATAAAGAAAATATTTTTTCTCACCACTTTAACCCAAGGTGTACCCTCACCATCATTCTCAACACTTGACATGTGTCCATATGCATAACCATAGTCAACTTACTTTGTATTTATGGAACCATGGTTATGCCTAAGGGCACGTGTCAAGTGTTGATAATGATGGTGAGGTTCTTAGATTAAAGTGGTGAGCAAAAATGCTTCTGATAGGCTAGACTCTTGTATTCAGTTTTTGTTGATGAATATAATTTCATACTTTAGTCTATAGAGTTACTATTGGGATTTTGCCCTATAACTCAATTATCTTCGTTCTAACTTCAATTCTATTGCTTTATCCTTCTATTCTCTATATTTTGGGTATATTTGGGTCACTGGACAGCAGCTTATAGCCGCTGCCCTGCATCACTTAATGAGGCTATCTACTTTCCTTGATACTCCAAATGTGAAACCCAAATTAAAGAGCATATGACATTGTTGAGCAAAAACGTGGAACTAGGACTGAAATGAGCTATATGTTGATTATAATATATCTATAAAGCTGATCAAGTGATGACATGTGACCAATTTTAACAAAAGTTCTGTTCGAATGTGACATAAAGGACCAAATTGATGTCTAGCCCAAAAGATGAAGGATCACATTGATTGATTTGAGAATTTGAGGACTTAAAAAAAGTCATGGACAACTTGTGGAAAATCCTTAAAAAACAAAAATAGAAACCTCAAGCCACCCATCCACGGTCCACCAAACCCGACCAACCCCAAGGGACCGCACCTAGCCCAAGGCCATCACACTCCGCAAAGTCCCACCGATGACAATGGCCGGTGTCTATGGTGGAGAAGGGAGGACAGGTTGGGTTTGTGAGGTTACGGGTAATATGGGTAGCAATTTTCTTTTCTTTTTTCAAAGGGTAAAAAGTAAATTTCATGTAGGAGTGGCAATGGGTCGTGTCATGTCAAGGTATTAAACGGTTAGAAATCTCCAACCCGAATAGGATTCGTTTATTAAACAAGTAACATGACACGACCTGTGTAACCTGTTTACTAAATGGGTTGGGTTGAATTGTTTATTAGGTTAACCTATTAACCTGTTTAACTCATTTGAGATTTGACGCTTAACCTATTTAGCATGTTTAAACTCATTTAATCTATTAAGTATTCATATTTATCAATGTTATGTTTTGGCTGGTCATAATACCAAAATGGTTGAGTTAGGATTCTAGGGAACTCCAATTTGGGTAAGGAATAGTGCGCGCAGGATTTCCTACTAGAATTAGGAAACAGTTTCTCTTATCCATATTGGTTCAGGATTAGGAAATAAGTTATCTTTCCTTATTCCAACAGGTTTTAGGAATCTTATTTTAACAAGTCAACCTATGTATATGTAGTAAAGTTTTGCAGATTAGCATAGGGATTTCAATAAGTTCTTGTAATCAATTGTTTTTCCCCATAGTGCTAGTGATTCTCTCACGAGCGATCACATGGGGACGTAGGCAAAGTTAGCCGAACCTCGCTAAATTCTTTGTGTTGGTGTGTTTACTTTATCGTTCAATTATTATTCCGCATATTCACATATCTTCATCCTAATTGTTTGCATAACACCGATAAACCAAATCAGAAAGAAATTAAATTTAACAATCAATAGTGTTACTCATATTTACTAAGAAACTTATGATAATATTGAAAAAATTTAAACAAAAAGACAAATTTAATATGAAAAAGATAATTTAACCCTATAAAAATTTAAACTAACAAAATGAAGCCACAGGTTGAATTCAGTAATCGTCTAATTTTTAGATTCTCATATCATCTTTGTAAAATTTCATTCAAATCAGAACTCGTGTAGTCACTTGATTATTATCATCAACATTCCCTTGTTTATTGAAAACGTTGTGTTCATCTATTTCTTTGGTTAGAGTTAAATAACTAAACGTTCTTTGATAGTAGAGGAAGGTTTGATTTTTTGCAGAATCTTTATGGTATTATATAATTTTTTCTTCATTTTTCTGTATATTTTTGTGTATAGAAGCTAATTGTCTTGTTGCATAAAATTCCAAGTTGAAAAGCATCCATGAAATTCCATATATTCTTTGGGATTTTGATTTGGGTTTCAAAATTGAGTAGTAGAGATTGTTTGTAAGTGGTGTGAATGGCAGAGAGAGAGACAGGACCAAAGAGAGAGAGAGGCTTTGGGGAAACAGCAACTCCAACGTAAGTTTAGAAAAATTAAAAAGTAAACTTTACACAACCTAAATGTTGGTAAATGTGTGGACTCTAAATGCAGAGGCTCGGGATCCTAACCATCGCAATAACTAAAATATCAACACAAATTAAAACTTAAAATTCTACATTAACTAGCTTTATACATTTATGTTTTTTTATTTATAAAATTATTTGAAATACGGGGATGGGTTCCCACCCCGGCCCATTAAATATAGGCTTAATTACACCAATGCCCCCTAAAACTTCGGTCCTCCCCTACCCCCATCCACCATTAATCCTAACCCACAACCACCCCCCAGCAACAAAACTTATGAGACTTGATTAGTCTTCATTAATGGTGTGTTTACTAATCAAGAATTGAATCCAACCTATGGAGGATTCATGTGTTTACTTCACATCAAAGAATTAAAAAGTAAGTGGGGCCCACACAAAATTAGGAATTGAATTCTTGATTTTAGAGGAATTCAATTCTTGGGTGGGAGGTGGTATTCTAATTCCTGGATAACAAACCTATTAGGAATTCATCTTTTTTACCCATTATATCCTCACCCAATTTTCAAATTTTCAAATTTGTCATCTACTTTAACCCAACAATGGGGACATTTTAATAATTAGTACCACTCCTACCCCAATTCCATATGGTTTAGTAAACAACTTCAATGGGAATCCGGAATCTAATTCTCCTCAATCTATATGGTTTAGTAAACAACTTCAACAGGAACTCCGGAATCTAATTCTCCTCAATCCAACTCCTCCTCAATTCAATTCATGCTAATCCAATTACGAATTAGTAAACATGCCATAAATCTACAAGTAGCTCCTCCAATTTCTCCACCATCACAAGTTCAATATAGAACCTCACAACCATCTCAGCCATCTTCTCATTGATCTTCCACATAGCATCCAACACTATCTTCCTAAACCCTGAACCCGAACCCTACCACCATCGCAAGCCTCCCTCTCTTGATCTCCTACCAACCTCGACACCCAACTTTAAATCTGGGTTGTTTGAAACCCAGCCCCCTTCCCCAACCCCCTCTCTCGCACAAACTAGCAGCTTCAAGCCCGTAGAATCCCCAAAAATCAAGCCAACCCGATTCAAATATACCCAACAAAAACAAACCCAAATTCAAATATGGGTTGTGGAAGGGGTCTGGGTTGGATTTTTAATTACTTGAAAAAAAAAATTCTTACTTATTTTAATTTTTAGTTATTTTTAATTATAAAAATATTTAATTATATTTTTATCTATGTGGAGGTGGACTCCACTTGCCACGTCACTCACCTAATTGGTAGATAATGATCTATGTGTATGAAATTATAAAAACCCCCTGCCATGTCATTAAAATTAACAGACTTTTAAATAGAGCTGACAGAAGGGGTAAGGTGGATCACCAAACCTCGGTCAAGAGATAAAAGTGAGTCATTTTGAGTTTTGGGGGGCAAAGTGGCATTTAACTAAAGTTTCAGGGGGCATTGGTGTAATTAAGCGTTAAGAGTACTCTCATCCCATTAAAAATTGGGGCAATTACATTTTTTGTCACTAGGATTAGGGTTGAATTTAATTTCTCACCAAAATTTCAATTTTCCGATTTTGGTCATTGTATTTGCATCTGTTAGCAAATTAGGTAAAATGTTCAATTCCGTCAGTTTCATTAATTTTAAAAAATAAATAATATTAAAAATAAATAAATTTAATTTTTTTTAAACCTCCTCTTTCTCACTCTTTACCCAACTCCTGGCAGCCATAACCACCTCACCTCAATCTCTTTACCCAACCTCTCAAATTCAAACAGCCATTGGAGGAGCTTCATGATAATTTCCAGAAGCCACACCACCTTCTCTCTCCTCTCTCTCATCCTTCTCTCTCCTCTATCTCTTCCCCTTCTCTCATCCTTCTCAACAACCACCCACACCACCTCCCCCACCTTCTCACAGCCATCACAAACGCAGAAAAAGAAAAAAAACTAGTCGAAGAGAGAGAGAGAGGGGGGTGGGTTCTGGGTGGGATGGGGAGGGTAGGTGGGTGTGGTTTTGGATTTGAACAAACCCAGTAGGAGAGAGAGAGAGAGAGAGAGAGAGAGAGAGAGAGTGGAGGCGAATTATTTCTTTTGTTAGTGAAACTAAACACAAGTTTTCATTTACAAGAGGTCGTGAAAAGTAGAGGAGAACGGTACTTTGCCGACTTGTTTTTAGTGTGCAAATAGGAGGGAAGAAAATTGATCGCATTGAGAAGTCATGAAGCTACAATTAGAATGGAACTGTTGAAGCAATATAGGGCCGAGCCATATGCAACCACTTCCAGGGATTGGGTTCAGGGGTTGGGTAAAGAGAGAGAAAGAGAAGGATTAAAAAATTAATTGTATTAAACCAAGGTGGTTGGTGTGAGTGGTTCGGCACTCTCATTCCTTAAGAGAGGTCAGGGGTTCGATCCCTACTCTTGTACGGAGTCACCACTTTGGCCAACACTTTACCCCTTACGGGCCGACCCGGTGTGAGTGGGGATTAGTCTGGGTTGTGGTTAAGGCTTAAAGGTGCCACCCATAGTTGGGGCACATCCAGGACCACCTCATGGTTCAGACCCAAAAAAAAAAAAATTAATTGTATTTATTTTTAATTTAATATTAAAAAAATATTTTTTAATTAATGAAACTAACGGAATTTAACATTTGACTTTATTTGTTAACAAATGTAAATAGTGACCAAATCAGAAAATTTAAATTTCGGTGATCAAAATTAAATTCCACCCGGTGACCGAAAATATAATTACTCCTTAAAAATTTGGCATCCGATGATGGAGAGTACTCTCATCAATTGTAGTAAAAAATTTCTTTAACCATAACATTGTTTAATTGCTGAGAAAAAATAATATTGCTTTCAACTATTTGGGCTGATTGATTTTTTCTACTTCCTAATCTTCTCGGGAACCAACTACAACCTAACAAATTTTTCGAGCAAACAAACACCACATAACGGAGCAAGCATGCCGGCACCAATGGTTTCTCAAAGAATTGGACTAAAAAAAATCAATCTTACTGATCGCAGAGACAAGAGGAGAAGAATGATAGGAAACAGGGAATAGAGAAGACGTACGAGATGGGGCATAGTCGAACCAGAGGTGCGCTTTGCGTTTGCCGTCTTCGTTGATGAAGTCGAGGAATCGCGCCGTAGAGAACTCGTAGGTCTCGTTAATTATCATCGTCGTACTTCGTCGTCGTGGTTGTGTTGGATTCGTCATCACACACTACCGTCGGGGTTTGATGTGGGTGCGGGGAGAAAGCTGGCGGCCTCCTCGTTTCCTTATTATTTTTTTATTAAATTCGATTTTTAGGTTATTACATAAAACTCCTCGTTTTCTTTTCTTTTCAAATTTTTTAAAGTTCTGCCTAATTGTTCTTTTACAATTATGCCCTGTTTTAATTAAAATGTGGTGATTTAATATTTCACTTTACTATGGGTATTTTTGAAGTTTTTGAATGTTTCATCATTCTCTGCATTTTGCTTTACATATATAGATTTCTTTTATTAAAATCATTTTCTTAGTCATTTTTCAATGAACTCATACTACAAACTATTAGAAGAAAGAAAAAAAAATTAATACAGGCGATAGTAACTAAAGGGATGTTCAATCAAAGAAAAAAACTACAATGGTAGGGGATTTCTCACATACTCATACATTATCTCCTTAAAGTTGAAGAGTACCTCCTCCTCCTTAGTTTTGAGGAGCCAAACTTTTTCCTATATGTATAGTCCCCTTCTATTGAGGGATTCCTTAAATAATTTTATTTGAGGGTTTAGGGTTCAGGGTCTCCTACGAAAAAAAAAATTAACAATCTAAACCGTCTATTTTTCAATTCTCTAATGATATACCATCCTTGCAAAAAATAAAGCAAATTGAAAATTATTAAGACGTCTATTTGGACCAACAAAATACATGAATATGATTCTTCAAGAAAAGACTAATAAAAACCATCTAATTGAGTGGTCAAATGGTTTCGGATTCATGTAAATTTTTTATTCTTTTTGTTGCAGAGATGATTTTTTATGGAATATCTAAAAACTAAACGGTTCGGATCATTGAAATATAATGTTTACTACTATCCTTTCTTTCTTTCCGCCCTATTTACAATGGAGTACAAAAACAATAATAACCAAGGGTGGAACTATAGCCACGACTACGATGGGCTGTATGGTCTAGTATGCTTGGTTTGATTATTTTTTGCTTACTTCCACAAGTAGATCATCAAAACCCATAGATTGTTTGCTTCCTTCCACAAGACTTTTTTGTGTTTTGGTCTGTTTTTCTACTAGACCTCCACCAGAGGGAAATATTATTTGTTCTCAGCCCATTTTTATTGTTTGTTGCTTTTTTGCGGTGTTTAATAAAATATTCTTTTCTCTGCTACCTTTTGGTGGGAAGAGGGTTTTAAAAAGGGTTTGCACTTTAAAGCTTATTCGATTGATGCAAAAGAAAATTAACAGATATAACATCAGATTTAATTCTTATTATGATAATGGTTAAATTTCTTATTCAAATATATTTAGTCTTTATAAAGTAAATTGCTTTTGTTGTTGGTATATGTGTTATTATATTATAATTTTACATCATAACCAAGCAAGTAAAAGAGCACAACCTATTCATATATTCATTTTGATAATACATTATATTCATTTTGGTAATATATATTTTTGGTTGTTGCATTTAGTATGTATTTTTTTCTTTATGATAAAATTTATTAGAAATTAGTCAATGTAACTATGATTTATATGAATTAATTATACTTTTATTTATTAAAACTATAGAAACTGTAAGTTTTTTAATATAAAAAAATAATTAGATTTTAAGCTCAAAATTTTAGCTAGCCCACTTATAAAAAAATTCATGGTTCCGCCCTTGATAATAACGTGCGGACATTATTTTTAAGCACCAATTATGATGAGTCATAGTAGCTTACCGTCCTCCCATTTGTGGTAATAATGGTGGCATCTCTGCCATGGATTTCTTTAACTTCGCCATCAATCCACGCAACCTCTGAATCCTCTGCCCAAACATGTGATCCAACTATGATGTTTATCGGCGTTCCCTGGATCATCCAACAATGACAAGAAAGATAATATTTTCTAAGAAAATGAAATGATAGGCCAGAAATATGCATTGAGGAAGAAACTAGTTAGTACTATCGTGAGAAAAGAAGCTTATACCATATCTGTCAGGATCTATGCGATCCAAATTTCAATGTGGGGATGAGCAGAAATAGATGAACATCGTTTGCACAGAGAGAGAGAGAGAGAGAGAGAGAGAGAGAGAGAGATTAGTGGTGTTCTTAAAGAATGTTAGGATGGTGGATTGCAATCCTTGTAGTTAGAAAGAATGTTGAAAAAAAATTCAAAAGCAATGGAAATGCCAGCGGTTTTAACTCATAAAGCAAAAGGTCTGTAGCCACCCCTTTCGCTCCATTTCCCTCACTTCATGTGAGAAAAAAAACTCTAGCTTGATTATTTATTTTAAATGGCTATGTTGTTTGTTGTCATAAATTAACACCTTTAATAGAGTGAGCATTACTTTAGTCAATTAGACCAATCAATTGAATATTCATTCATATTCTGAGATTAGATATCTAGAGTGAGAATTTTATTTTTATTTTTTATAGATAAAGATGATAAATTGTACTTATAATTCAGGTATAAATATCGTTATAATTTATAAGAGCCAATACAAATACAGATAACCACACAAATGAAAAATTAGAGAACCTTGATATAAAAGAAAGAGGTCAAGGTTAATCTTTTGAAATTCAAACCGGGGCCTAGGCTACAGTTATTATTACAATGGCAATCAAACAAGCAGGGCCAAGGCGTGTCGCTTTAAAAATCTATGCCCACCCACCAGTCACTCCTGTCTGGCTTTGAAATTTTAGTTGCTCCTTTATTTTCTTATTCATGTTACATTATTCGAAGGGGCTGTGGAGTGGACAGAGAGGGTTTCTCTGGGACGGTTGATGCCGGTGGTGGATGGTCATTCGCATGGGAAAAGGTCTTTGGCTTCGGGGCCCTAAAAATAAAGTAGAGATTGCTCTGCTTGCTTTCCAACCAGACTTTCCTCATTAATCATTTCTTTTATTGTCATTCTTTAACAATTTGCTAATTTGAGTACTTTAATCATCATTAGTCGTGCTTACCAAGGCTGTTTCCAATTTATAATAGAAGGGTCCCACACACGCATTAGAGGCGGTGGCAAATTGTCTCTCTCGTATGAAACGTCGGAGTCCAAAATTGGTACTTATGTAATGACGTTTTACTTTAATAATATTTTAAGTATTTATTTAATGTTAACTAAATTTTGTAATTATTTTAGGGAGCTTTTTCTCCATTTACACTCTATTTTGTTTTTTTAATACTTTTTAATCAATTTTATTCTTTTTTGTTCTATTATTACCGTACATTAATGTTTTGATAACTTAAATTAAGAAAAGTTAACCCAAAAAAAATAAAAATCAGAGCGTCTTCTACTCCTTCATCGTGTCTTTCCCTCTCCTTCATCACCTCCAACGCATGGTCAGAACCAAGGCAAGGGCTGCCCTTGGCTGTAGCCCAGTGACGGTTTGGGAAAAAAATATTAAATATACATATAGCCTAATATTTTAACCCATATATATATATATATACAATTTCAACACCAATAGGCATAGTCAGAGGTCTTCCACATTTGTATTTGGTGTCGAAGTTTGTCCCAACATCAATTTTAAAAAATTTATATTAATTTGTCTTCAAAAGAGAAGCATTTTTCTAAATGAAATTCACTATTTCATGAATAATATGGCTCTGATTTCATTTTTCTTCTTCTTCTTCTTGTGTTTACAATTAGCATAATTTAATGTATACTCTTATTTCTAGAAAAACTATAGAAAATGTAAGTACCAAAAAAAAAATTATCATTAGATTTTAAGCTAATAACTTTAGCTAGCCCACCCATTGAAAAATTTCTAATTCCGCCCTTGCTCTGACGACGAAACTCAGCCACCATCTCCAACGAACTTGAGTTGTTTCTAGGGAATACCCAAATTCTGGCATATGAATCTACATGAAATTATTTTCTCGATCTTTTATGAATCATGCTTTCCCCATTTATGTAAGAACCCACAAGAAAATACACAATAATTTAAAATTGAAGGCTTTTTATTCAATTTTCGATGTGTTTGTTTAAAAAAAATTAAAGATTGAATAGGGGTTCTAACATGAACTTATACGGTAACCATTAATCATGCCTCTTAATTGGAAAAAAGCAAACTCTTTGCAAACTATTCTTTGCAGCAAAACATGCAATCCACAAAACCACTTTTGACAAAATGAAGGAAACCTTCAGGAATTAATCCCCAAACTCAAGCCAGACAATCAATCTAGAAATGTCGTCCACATATAAATTAATATTTTCCTGAAAATATTTAGGCAAAAAAAAAAAAAAGGAGCTCTTATGATATGTGTTCACTGTTCATTGAAGGAGTAGAAGACGCTCTCACTTCTTTTTTTTTCTTTTCTTTTATTTTATGTTAACTTTTCTTAATTTTAGTTATGAAAACATTAATGCAGGCTAAAGGTAGAATAGGAAATTGAAAGAACCAAAAAGAACAAAATTGATTAAAAAATATTTAAAAGCAAAAGAGAGTGTAAGTGGAAAAAATGAGAGTTGAAAAATCAGCTCATAGAGACAGAACATTTAGCATAATGTGGTTGGAGTTGAAATTTTGTAGAGAGTTCCTATAAAATAATTGTCCAGTCTTTTTAGTAGTATTTTAGTTAAAAAAATAGGATGGTTTTAGTAGTTGGATTTCAGTAAAAACTAACCAAATTGCTCTTAGAGTATCTACAACGAGTTCCTTAAACCACCTCCTTAAACAAAGGAAAGATTGAAAAAAAACATAACTCCAACCAGGCTCCTTATACACTCCTAAAATAGAGTCCAAATCTTGTCCCCTATACATAGATATATTATATTTTGGGAAAATTGAATGTATTTTTGGTATTTGTCTACAATTTGTACATGTACGGTTGTTGAGATTTTACTTTTGTTGAAACAAAAAAAAAATTCATGATCTGGATGGTTTTGTTGGAGGCGGACATAGAATTACTTTGGTTTTGTTTATCTTATTTTATTTTTTATGTTTTATAATCGATTTATTCACAAATCGGTTTCATTTGTTCATCTTTTCATGTGTATATTTTTTAGGGATGGGTACGGTTTGGTTTGGTCCGGTTCTCACTCAAATTGAAATTAGTACTATTTATTCGGTTCAGTCGTAACAGGACCTGCCCTGAATTCCTACACGATTGTAGAGGTACCTAGATCAACATATTTGGAAATGGAGTCGATCCAACGGTCCGAACATATCGAACCCGGATAAAGCCTAATATGCGTAAATTCGATCGACCGTCAAACGATAACCAAAATCAAATCCGAGCATACCGTCTTGCTCGGGACAATATGGGGATCATTTTAGGACCAAATGGGTCACCCAAACATGGCCCACGTGCCTCCACACACGCCGCCAGCACGTGGGTGTCTTGAGAAAATTATGGCGACCGGAAAACTCTCAAAACACCCATCAATACCTATACCAACTTGATCAAGACAAAGAGTGGAGCAACTTTTGTTCATTGACCACAACCAAAAAGTGACCGAAACTTGCCAGAAACTCGAGCCTAAAACTAGCCAAAACTTTGAGTTGTAAAACGAGTTTCAAAACTTCAAAATCAATCCTAACCAACCCAACCATCAGCTAGAGCACATTGAAAGGATGAGAAAGCATACCTGGATCTACTAATTTGGTGGTTGGAATCATCCAAATCGATGACGGAAAATTTATGTAAAATTCGGCGATTTTTCACATTTTCCAATGGCTGTGGTGGCAGGTTTTGTCGGAGGTGGGGTGGGTCGGGAAGAGGAAGCTGAGCCGCTCATTTTGGTACCGGTCTTGTGGCCAACGGTGGCCAAATGTGGTGGTTGCTGGCCAAAACATGGCCGGCTGGAGGTGCTGCCCATGAGAGAGAGAGAGAGAGAGAGAGAGAGAGAAGAAAAAAAATCTGGGTTTTTAAAATTTCAAATTCGAGTTATTTACGGTTGTGCCACTGCACTTTTGTTGATCGTAACTTGTTCGTTACAACTCTGATTTGAGCCCTCTACGTGTCTACGAACTCATATTGACGCGCTCTACGCAACGGTACCATTCATTTTCCCAAAATCCTACCAGATTAAAAAGTGACTAAAATAACCATATCCTGAGGTCAAAATTGAAATTTCATAATTAATTAATTAATTAGTTATATATATATACTAAATAAATGGTTAAAAATTGGGTCAGGATGTTATAGGTCCAGTTTTGAAGAAAAAGTTATTTGACCTGTTTTGCTTATTAGTCAGTTCGATTTTCGATTTTGGACTGGAATTTTTTTTTTTTGGTTGAAAATTTTAATAAATTTTTGTACATAACCCAATTTTTTTTTTTTTTGGGGCTTAAAAATTCACAAATGGCCCAATTTCATGCAAATGGAGGTGATTGGGCCTAGCAAAGAGAGGTGATTTGGAGTTGGGCTTGGGGAACGCTTAGCTATGGGTTTAGAAATTTAGCATTTGGGTTAAATATTTTTGGCTGATTTATTGTTCACCCCCTGGAACTCGTGCTCCCTCTCACTTAACCACCAGGAACTCAAATTTCCTCACTTTACCCCCTAAATTTCTTAAAATTGCTAAAATTTTCTCACTTTAACACTTCCGTCCATTTCCATCCACAAAACCGTTAAGTGTACTGAGGTGGCATGGGCATTCTAGTCAATTTATCCCATCTATATTCTTTCTTATATTGCCTCTCTCTCTCTCTCTCTCTCTCTCTCTCTCTCTCTCTCTCTCTCTGCCTTGAGACTTGGATGTGGGGTAGTGCTATTTATGGCCATGCCCTAATCTTGATTCTCATGAGAGTTACTAGAGAATAGCTCAATTCTCACAGTCGCAACCTCACGACGTCTTTAACTTAGGTGAGTTCTCCAAGAGTACATGTGACCTGCACCCTACGGGAGTTTACCCACACCCTACGGGAGTTTACCCACCTCGAAACTCATTTAGGGATAAATCCATTCCTGACGTCATATAAAATAGCACTTTTGCCTTAAGGATGAGCAGAAGAATATCTCAAGGATATCTCCATAGTTTTATGAGTGCTATATGAGTCATGCAGTATGGATTGTTTCTACCACATTGAACTTCCTTCATGGGATCGCCAATCACAGAAGTTGGGTTACCTCCCTAGGTGACTCCCTTATGGGCTTAAGCACATGCCCCTAGACATTTTGCATTAATAGCCTCCTCCACGAGGCATGCATATCATAATTGGCCTTTACAAGGCATATATAATGTGGGTCATGTCTTTGTTCTCCACTTTAGCACGCTCTAGACCTACATGTTATTAGAAATATTTCCTACACAATCTTGCACACAAATGATTAGTGGATCTCACCTCAGTTTAATTGGAAATTTCCCATCCTCAAACCTTACTCCCAACGCTCATCCATCGCACCCCACCTCTCCCTCTGCCACTCTCTTCTCCCTCTTTATCCCCCTCTCTCTTCTCTCCCCTCTCCTCCCCAACCCTCATCGCACCCCACCCCCTCCCATCTTCTTTCTCCTTTGTGCCTCTTTCTCTCACTCTCACTATCTCTACCGAGAGAGAAGATAGGGAGTGAGTGGCTGTTGAAGATATTTTTATAAAAAATTTGAGTTGTGGTGGTTTGGGTGTGTTGAGTAATTCCATGGAGGTTGGATTTGGGGTGGGGGTTCGATTTGTGGGGGTTCGGTTTGAGAAGAGGAAAGGAGAGAAGAGAGAGGCATAGAGTGAGAGAGATATAAAGAGAGGCAAAGGGAGGGAAGGGGTGGGGTGCGATGGAGGTGCGCTAAGGGTTGGGTTTGGAAAGGAGATGAGAGAGAGAGAGAGAGAGAGAGAGAGAGAGAGAGAGAGAGAGAGAGAGAGAGAGAGAGAGAGAGAGAGAGAGAG